CACACTTGCCATTCTCGGTACGGGAGCTGTGAGGCAGGCCTTTGAGCAGCTTCAGAGACGTGTCCACAAGGAAACCTCCTGCAATGGCTGTGTTTCTGCTGGGATTACGAAGCAGGGGTGGGGAGGTCCTCCAGCCAAGGGGAGAGTATGGGCAGATACATCGTCAGCATCACTGCCCGTGGGGCACACCAAGTCTGCAGCTGTCGGAGACAACAGCAGCAGGAAATGCGACTGCCCTGACTCTAGAGCAAGATCTTGTACCTCCAAAGGTGCCTCCCTGCCATGGATGAAGTTAGCTAGGAGAGAGCTGGGTCAAGGAGCCACAGAGCAGAGGGGTGGGAGAGGAGAAAGGGTCTAGACCTCTGGTGGAAATATGGGATCTAGACTGGTGGAAAGCTGGATGCTTGAGAGACAGCTATGGGGTGGATCCATGATCTGGTGAGAAAATCTGTCCAGAGAAAGCTTTTCTCTCAAGTCACAAGAAACGGGGGACGGATGAGGGAGGTCTGGGGTATAGATCAAATGGAAAGAAACCAGGAACATCTGAGTGCTTAGAAGGAACATCATCACACTAGCAAAAGCAAGCACTAAATGCTAGGAGATGAAGTAGTTAAGTCGCTTGCTTAATTCAAGTGAAGAGTGGTCCTAGGGATGAAGCCAGGGCTCATTATGACAGAGGCGTTTCGTGTGTCCCCTTGCAGAAGGTGGAACATGAGCTGGGACCTAAGAAGAAGAAGGGCTCGTCTGGATAAAGCAGCTGAATGTCCCCAAGGAGGGCTGGGCTGCACGGACACTGAGGTGGCCACTTAAACCAAAGTCAGCCCAGCATGAAAAACCTTGTGCAGTGCTGAGCTGGAGCAGCAGGAGCAGCAGCTGGAGCCAGAGGCAGCTGCCCTCTGAACAAAAAGCATGCCACAGGACACGATGCATTCAGGGGAAAAACAGGCCCGTGCCAGCTCTAATTGGCCTCTAAAACGACGAGTTATTCTTTTGTATTTAATCTCTGCGCTTTGTTTCCCCATCTTTAAAACATCCTTTCATCTCACTGAGGTTTGGGGGAAATTAATTAATTGTTCATCAACTGCTCAGATACAATAGAGATCGGCACAAGTTCAAGAGGAAATTAATAACTCTGCCTCTGGAAGAGGGTGTGATCAGAGCTGGGTAAATAAGGCAGAAGGACACACACTGAACAATGAAGAGAAACTAAATAATGAAAGCTGCTCATTAAGTGAGCCAAGTCCATTCTGTGCTCTGAGGGTGGCAGGGACCCTGTGGGGAAACCAGCATGGGAGCCTGTAATTAAAGACTCTATAATAATGTGAACACACCAGGGGGGCAAATTTAGGTTGCACAAGGAACCTTAATTCTGTTATTTTCTAACTTTTCAGCGTTTGACTTTCAACCTTAATAACGCTGTTTCAGTGCAGTTTTTAGCTGTGTAGTGTCATAAAGAGGTGTGGGCATCACACTTTCCTTCCCCAGTTCCAGCAACGGGATGTCTATTCTGATTTATTCTGAGAAGTGTGCACAAAAGAGCCATTAAAGGCTTAGAAAAATAATCAGTTTGAGTTGGTGTTCAAACAAATGCAATCCAGCTTTTGAGGGCTGTGGGTTTGTGTGCATGTAGCCAAATCCAGTATTTTCTTAAGCCAAAGAACAGCACATGCAACACAGCACACACATACTACAGCCTAATTTAAAAATCAAACCTGTACTGGACAGAGCTGGTCAGTGGTCTGCAATGCAACCTCTTCCCCAGTCAAAACCCCAACAAAAACAACCAACCAAACAAAGAAAACTCCAGCAAAAAAGCTTTTTCATGACACTGAACAGTTCTGCAACAATAAAGAACGCTTATGGCAAGGCTGCAGAAGAGCCCTGTGGGTCTGAGTGGTGGGCTTCCCAGCCCAGCAGCAATACAGCACCCCCAAGCACCCCGCAGTGCCCCAGAATCCCCTGACACAGGGACATTTCCTCCCCCGTGTCTGAGCTGAGCACCCCAGGAGGGAATGGAGCAGCCCTGGCACAGGGTTATGGTTTACTGAGCGCTGCTCCCACCCACCTCCCGGACTGCCGGTACCTCCAAGCAACCCAGCATCCAAAAGGGAACTGGCCGGCCGGTGGGATCCCAGCACGTGGCCACAGCTGTGGCTGCAGACTGCCCTCATCCACACATGAACACTCCTGCCAGAAACTGCTGCTGCTGCTGCACATGTTACAGGGAAGCAAGGGTGAGAATACCTGCACCCCGTCTGCAAATCCCCCTGTGGAAATGGGTGCTGTGATCATCTGCAAATTGTCCCTCCCTTCCAGAGGCCTCCTGTGTGACAAGCAGACAGAGGGGGAGCAGGGCACCAACCCTCCCTGTCCAGCCTGGCAATCTGCAGCAGCCACCTCCTGACAGCCACACTTTTACTGACAGGTTCTGATGAACACAAATTCCACATGAGCATCATTGGGTTTAAACTGCCACAGGCATGGGCTTAATTCTCTGCCTCTTTTCTCCCACCTGACAAACCCAAAAGCCTTCCAGCCTCAAACTGAGATGCCTGAACCTTGCTTTCCATGGCAGAAAACAGGTCTGTGTCCTGAGCAGCCTTGGCAGAACCTCACAAGACAGCAAAGCTTGGCTGTAAACCCCTGCTTGTTGACTCACTGGTCTTATCTGAAACCCAGCTGCTGACCCTGCAGGTCTGAGATCAAAAGAGAAAACCACAGAAAACTCTGCTCAGAGCAGCAGCAGACCCAGCGCCTTGGACCGATGGGCTGCCTCCAGGCTCACCTGTCCCAGTACAGGGCAACTCCAACCTGAGGGCCAGGGCCCCAGCAGAACTGGTATCCAAACACCAACTAAATTTAGCACCTATGTTAGTGCATCTATAGAGATATTATCGAAATAAAACCAAATTCCTATTAATGCTAACACAAAACAAGAAGAGGAATCACATCAGTAGAAGTGAATGACTTTTTGGTGAAGGATTGGGAGAGGGAAAGAATGAAAAGCACAAACCAAAATGAAGCTTTATCCAGAATATTGGAATTAATTAAATTTAGGTTTCTTACTTGCTCATTTAAATGATGATTCCATACAGTCATGTCAATCGTTCCACCTTTCACTCACTCTCCGTGGGTTAAACTTCAGTGAATAGACATTGAGTGACTTGACAGAACCACGTGCAAATCACCAGCAGAGTCAGGGAAAACAAAACTGGGACAAGTCAATTGAAATCTCAGTTCTTGGCTCAACAGACTCACAGATCAAGCTTAGGATGACTTACAGCAGTCAATCCCCACTCTGAACTTCTGAAAGCTACCACACCTGGAAGGCTGAAGGCATTTACAAGAGCATCTCAGCTGTGTTGTACTCCTCAGGAACAAACATCTCCCACCTGTAAATGGTCTCTCCAGAAGACTGACATTCTCCATCAACCCCTAAACCTTTGCAAGCCTTTTCCACTGAAAGCTGTGATTTGTAGCTACATTTTTAGCAGGTCTGAAGCATGCAATCAATACTGGAGGGAGTGAAAATCAAGAATCAGTTTCTCTGCCATGGTGCTAAACAGTTAATCATCTTCATTTGCTTGAAAAAAGCAACCTGAGCAAAATGTCCTACTCATTACAGGAGAACACCTCTGGGGAACACAGCTTCATGCCCTGAGAAAGCTGAGTGATTAAAAATTGGCCTGGATCAACCGGGCTTTCATAGTAAGAGTTACAGTAGAACCACTAGCACATTGAGCCTGTGTAGCTTTCAGCTGCACGTTCCCACAGAAATCAAGGGAGCTTAGGTGGTTAAAGAGTACGCTGGGGGCTTTTCCTGAAGCTTCCCCATAGTGAGAATGTTCACCTACCTTCATCCTGACAGAGCCCATTGCTCTTGCAAATCAAATTGGACTATGAACTTTCCCAGGAAAGCCCAATCTCTGCATGCTTTCTCATACTGACCAGATTATACAGGCCCCTTCTCTTAAGTCCTTCCAGAGCTAATTATCCTGCTGCCCTGTATCCATGATGTTATCCTGCTTCTCCTTGTTACAGGTAAGTCTGCACAATAACATTTCAAAGAACATCCTGTCAGACTGTAGGAATACTGGCCATGTTGGCAAGTGCTAAGGTGAATGCAGATTCAGATATTTAATTACACAGTCAATCACGTCTACAATTCAGACAGCAGCTTAGTTCTCACAGCTTAATTACTTTAATTTCAGATGAATAGCTTGTGTTGTCATAAGCAGTTTGACACTCTGGAAAACAGTCAGAAATTATACTAAGAACAGATAGCTTTACTGCTAGTAAGGAAAAAAGTTTTGGCATCCTTGGAAGTATTCAAAACCTGACTGGATGAGGCCCTGAGCAACCTGATCCAACTCTGAAATCAGCCCTGCTTTGATCTGGGGGGTCAGGGTGGTGAGGGCTTTGGATCAGAGACCTCCAGAGGTCCCTTCCCAAGTAAAGCATTCTGTGATTCTGGATATAATTCATGAGATAAACCACATCTTTCTCACCCAACTTCATAACTCACGCCAGTCACCAACAACACTGTGTCAGCTCAGCACGTATATCTGAAATGATCGTGCACAAAGGCAGTATTGTAGTGATGCTCCAGAAGTGTCATTTTTCTTCCAGAGGCATCTTGCATGGCTCACTGAAGTTCACTTTAACCAGCCAGAGGCACAGACATTGCCTGGCTCCTCTGGTCTAGAAGAACCAGATACAAATGTCACAATACGTTCTTCAATAGCTACCAACAGGAGGGGTTAAATAACCAACTTTTATTCCTTTGACCACCCACACATCTTGGGTAGCTCAAAATGCCTGAGCTGACATTTGCTGTTCTGCTTTTCATTTGGAAAACGCAAGAGGAATAGTGTAGGGCCTATTAAAAAGAACAAAGCCGGAGAAATGTGTGGCAAGGTTGTGAAGCAGGCAGCTGATTCACAGTACATCCGAGGCACGGGATGAAGCAAGAGCTGTCAGGAATTGTTAAATGCTCTTACCTGTCCTGCAAAAAGCCCACACACGCCAATAATACAGAGAATGTTGAACACAGCCGAGCCTACGATGGTTCCAACGCCTACGTCTCCTTTCGTGATAAAAACACCTGAAAAACAAGTTCAAGGCAAACTGCGTGAATGGGGAAGAGCAGTTTTCCATAAAATTTGCACAGAAAATTGCAGCCCTCACACCCCATTAACGATTCTAAAGGCACATACCAGTTCTGCCGCTTGTTCTCATGTTGAACAGGGCAGCTTGCAGAGAAAGGTACTAGGGTGAATAAAGGTGCCAGAACTTGCTTTCTGAGGGGACCTGGACAGATTGTCTAATGGAAACCAAATACCTTAGACATGTCCAAGTCACCAACCTCCTGGTCTTGTGATCCCACATTACGGAAGCACAGATCACACAAGACAGTAAGCTCCATGGGAGCAGCTGGTCGGACACAAATCTGCAGGAAGCTATCTCCCATACGACACTCCCTCAGTGGTATTCTGCTGTCCATCCCCCCTGGCTTCAATAGGCAAGCAGAAGTTTGAGCTGGAGCTGATTTAGAGCTGCCTGGCCACTAGCTACTTACACGTTGAATGTTGCCCCTCAGGATGAGTTATGGTGCTGTGTTTCAAGCTCCTTTCAGAACTGTTCTGTCAAATTTGGCTAAAATTGGCCAATGAGGTTAATGGTGGGGGATACCGACAGACGCATCATGGTGCTGCACAAAATTCTTTCCTTAAGAAGTCAGCCTAAAAATAACACTCCATCTCCCACTGGCTGTCAGGCTGCCTGAACTCACCACTTGCCTTTAAGGTGCCAGCATAGTTTAGATATTTTTTTCCACTTTATCCTTTCTCAGAAACATCTTCCACAGAAGCAGTCACTCGCCAGGGGACACTCCACAGTATCTGGTGGATTGCACAGCCAGATAATGATCAGACCATTAAGACTTCTCTAAGCTGTCTGATGGAAGCTGGCTCTATTTTCACTTTGCAATCGCACTATCCTTAACTGGAATACAAGCCCAACTTGATCCAGTTTAATTCCTACCTCTTAAGGCTTTGCGTGTAATCAGACCTCTCTGCAGAGTATGCAGCTTTGTGAGAATTAATTTGTGCTCTGCATCTGATAGCTGTGACTGAACTAGAATTATCTTCTAGAGAAACTAAGATGAGTAATTCTCCTCAGTGATGCAGTGCCTGCCTTAATCTCCCAATTGCTGCTTTGATGATCACCTGCCAACAGGTATGTGGGTGAGTAAAACTGCAAGAACACTCTTCCCTTACACCAGGTAGCATATATAAATACATACATAGAGCATCACTTTGTAACAGATGACTGCAGCCCCTTGTAGCTCAGGAGTTTCCCAGGTTTCACACACTTTAGGACTGCTGAATCCCATAACACTTCCCATAAGCAGACAGCTGCTTTGGTAGTGTGATGCTCTGATTAACTTGTTGCTGTGAGAAAGCATCCCAAACCCTCTCCTCCTCCCCACTCTGGGTTTCCAAGAGGGAAGCAGTGTTAGAAGACCAACCAGAGTGGAGATGAGAGAACACAAGGAGTTCACCTGGGTGCCAGCCCAGGAGGCTGGCAGTGCATCCTTTCATGCTGTGCCCTGGGATGGTGTGGCAGATAACACAGGACAAGGGACAGGAGGGGACAAGGCTGTATGTGCAGGTGGGTTGTGCTACAGAGGGGACATTAACACACAGTTACAATGACCTCCCTGCTGGCCCTGGTTTGACAGTCACATCAAACCATTTCCAAGGCAGCCCTGCTGTGGGATAATATCACCTTTTCAGAGCCACTTCATCTAGTGAGGATTCCCCGCAACTAATCCTATGTGTGCCCACGAGGGAAGGTCCAGGGATTATAAATTAATAGTACAGGCACTCAGCAATCTCATTTCAACTCCCCAAAACCAGGCACGGAGATGTGGAGGTTTCAAGAAGCAGCAGCATTTAGTTACCTATGACAGATGTAAACAACTCAGGAGCAGAGCTTCCTGCGGCCATAAAAGTTGCCCCAGCCACATCTTCGCTAAGATGCAAGCGCTGCAGAAAAACACATCAGAGACATTCATCACAAAACTGGGAGGCTGCAGGAATTCAACTAGAAACATAAAGAGTGGGAAACTGCCCGGGTGCAAAGTTTTACATTAACAGAGTTTAAGTAAAGGGAAAAAGTCATCACAGGAATTGGCTACTTAAGTGAGCACCTCCTGGTAGAGAGGGCAGGTTGTGGCAGTGATACCCTTTACAGAGGACAGAAAGAGCAACAACTCTGGACAACAGCCAGGCAGTTTCACCAGTCACGGCCCTTTGTCTCCTCCACGACCCCACCATACACACCTTGTTTCATTTATTTGGCCCTAAAGATTAGGGCTGGAGCTCAGGCTTGGTACACCCCCAGCTGCGTTCCCTGGTATCATTTCAGCCCTCGACATTTAATGTCTCCCCACCCCTTTACACTTGGATGGCCATTAAGGATGCTTACCTTCTACAGCCTTCCCCTCGCAGTGCCCAGGGGCTATATAAACCAGGGGGTTCTGGAAGGGAAAAGACCCACTACTCTATGAAATCGTCATCGGCACACACTGTTTCCAAAAATTTACTTGGTTAATTACTTCCTTTATGTTTTCTGCATTCCCACTGCTCCATCTGCACAAGCCACTGCTCAGCAAACACATCGAGGCTGTTACAGCCCACATGCTTTGCTGGCACCTTCCACAGTTTAATGAGTAGCTATAAAAAGCCATCCCCCACCACACAGCCATAAAGTGCTGAGCTGTTACTACACAGAGCTGTCTTGCTCACACGTGTGTGGCTGCTGTGGTATGAGCGAGGGAAGGCAGCTCAGGGTGGTGGGAGGTTTCCCTACCAAAACTGCTCCAGGCAGCACTCCAAGCCTGGCAGGATGGAGGAAGCCTCCCCCCTCCTTCCTCCCTCCGTACTGGTGCAACTTTTATTGTTACCAAAGCACATTTGCACAGAGACAAGATTGCAGAAATCTTCCCACCAACCTTATCTGGACTGAAAATCCCCTAAAGGATGTTCTGGGCCCGTAAGAGAATGTAACTGTATCCACTGACTGTACATGTATATCAGAAAACCTGCATTTTCCTTTTTCCCTTGTTATGGGAACAAGGGACAAGGAAAAGAGGTGCCCTCAGCAGGAGTGCTTTTCAAGCAGGAGACCACAGCATCGGTGCACTACTATAAAAGTTTGTGGAACTTGATTAAATGGAAATCATTTTATCGAAAATGATTTTATATAGAATTAAAGCTACTGTAGAAGTTAGGACGACAAGTAGATCCCCAGCCAGTTTCTTCTGCAGGATTCTCTATGCAAACGTAGACACAATCATCCTACAACAGCTGGTCTGCAACTCGATGGTGTCTTCTGAAAGACAAGACTATCAGCCAAGGAAACCAGCTGATGCGCCATCCCTGGAGACATCCCAGGCCAGGCTGGATGTGGTTCTGGGCAATCTGATCTAGTTGATGGTGTCCTTGCGCACTGCAGGGGGGTTGGAACTGGATGAACTTTAAGGTCCCTTCCAACCGAAATTATTCTGTGATTCTATGACTACCTGTGGGGATGGGTTAATTTAAACCTATAGTAGGTTCTCTCGAGGACAGGTCCTAGATAATTTACTGCAATGCAGATGATGATTAAGTTAATACGGTAGAGAAGGAAATGCGGCACGCTATGCGGGAGGCAGATATCGTCTCTGCTATTTGCAGAGAAATGTTTCCAGTTGATGTATGACGTTATCTGTGGCATGTAAACACTCTGCTACACCAATAACAGAGAGTGGCTGGGCACAGGAAAGTACAAGTTAGCTTAGAAAATAACTGAAAATCAGGAATTCATGTAAGCACATCTGAACTAAGGCAGAGTGTGACTGTCTACCATAGCAAGTGTTCTGGAGGAAATCCTCATCTCAGTACACACCTGGGAGTGCAAATGCCTTGTTGGTTCAACTCAAGAACCACTTTCCAAACTAGGAGAAGCTAAGCCAGAAAAAGGGTGTTTAGTTTTGAGTTAGTGCATCTAAACTACAATCCACTGTAGAACTGCTGTTCGTTGATCTCCAAGAGCACAAAAGCCTTCAGGCAAGAGGTCCAGTTTCTTTTGTGCTGGATATGACTGGTGGTGGTGGGATTGCTGGTGGTAGATCTTAGGTGTGCAGCAAGTCACTACCATCTACGGTTGATGGCAAGGTAAGCTGCGATCATAGGTACTGCCATAGCCAGTACAACCTCTTGGATGTGATTCCTGCAAAGGGCTCTCTCCCCTCTCCCTCCCTCTCCACTATTTTTTGTGAGTTAACAAACAAGTGAACACCCCTGAAAACATCCCAGGCCTTATCAGGTGACGGAGGAGGACTCAGATGGTAGCATCTGTGGCTATCGGGCAGTGATAAAACCTTCCCTTCGCTAGAAAATCAGGCAAGAGTTCATACGCCCAATGGCTGCAGAGGCCTTTGTGAAGTGACCCGAGCCTTTTCCTGTGCACTCTTGAGTGCTAATACCAAGGACAAACCATGAAAAACCATGAAAAGAAAGGCAAGCCATTCTGGACTGATAAAATCACATGGAGTTGGAGCAGGAAATAGGAATGTGTATTTCTTTTGCATCATGTAATTACAAAAATGCTTAAAATACACAGATAAAGGGACTCAAATGCCCCAAATGGTCACCTAGGGGCTGAGAAAAACCTCTTTCTTGAGAGAATCAAGGAGCAACATCAACAGTAAAATTCTGATCCATTTATATGACCCATACGGATAATCTCTAATGACACAGTATCTTGCTTCTTGACAGGAACTTCTTAATACAAGTATGCTCAACTGTTCTTCTATTGCTAAGTTTTCTCTTTTACATCAGGGACCTTAGTGACACGACAAGGGGCGATGAGTTCAAATTTAAACAGGGGAAGTTCAGGTTGGATATAGGACCCTAAGGTCACTCAGAGAGCCCAAGACAGAGCTGTAACAGGAGCCAATGCTCCACAGACCCATCTGCTCCCAGTTTGAGAGTAAAGAATTTCTTCCTAAATCCAACCTGAACTTCCCCTGTTTAAGTTTGAACCTTGATGAAGAGTCCCTCTCCAGCATCCCTGTAGCCCCCTTCAGACACTGGAAGCTGCTATGAGGTCTCCATGCAGCCTTCTCTTCTCCAGGCTGAACAGCCCCAATGTTCTCAGCCTGTCTCCATACAGGAGGTGCTCCAGCCCCTGCTCATCCTCGTGGCCTCCTCTGCACTTGCTCCAACAGCTCCATGTCCCTCTTGACTGATGTATCCCCCCAATTCCACAGGGCCAGGACCCACATGAGGGCAGGACTCAGCTCTCAGGCAGCCAGCTGAGAGCCTGGCATCTCCCCCTTCCTGGGTGTGTTTTTGGTTTGGTTTTAAATACCAACACTTGTAAACTCTCCTGTGCATTTTTTGCTTTCCCAGTCTGACCCTTGGGAGTCTCTAAGTTCCAAGTTAATGGTACATGAAACTCAGAAACACCCCGTGGATCAGTATTTCCATGCAGAAGTCAAGAAATAAAAGGTTGTCATCTCTCAAATCCCAGGAGAACTGTGACATGCTCAAAGCTGTAACTGAACCAAAGTGCTGTTCCCCAGATGATGCACAAATGACAACCCAGCTCTCTCACAGTCTCTGCTGCCTGGATCCTACCTCAGGGGCAGGGTTTCTCAGCTGGAGAGGCAGGAGCACACCAGCAGCAAGCCACAGGGCACAGGACAAGCTCCCATGCTGCAGGTAGCACTTCTGGGAGCCCACCACATGGGGCTCAGCCTGGGAATCGCTGCTCCAAAGAACGTGTTTCTCACTATGTTACAAATCGCTCCCATTTTAAAGCAGTGCTATGATGCAGATACTGGAATTACTATTTCAGAGCCACTGCTACCTTTTGAGAGAGAGTCTCAGCCGAGTTTACCCACCAGCAGACTCCTCGCCCATCTCCTGTGAGCAAGAACATGAAGCTGAGCCAGCGCACACACAATGTGCTGAGCAACTAAACAAGAACCGGGGAATGCACTAGGACAACAGTAAATACACCATCATCACGTTCTGAAGCTCTTGACAAGAGCTGCTCCCTCAGGTTAAGTAACTGCTACGATCTTCTAATACTTACCTCGCAAATCTTTTCCAACGAAGGGACAAAGAAATCATCGCAGACTATTGCCAAAGCATAAAACATATACACGGCCTGCAAAAGAGAAGAGAAAACCTTGAGTGTGGAGGTTGTGAAGCAGAAGCGGACTGCAGCACCACAACTCCTCCTGCCTTGTGGTGGTGCATGCTTTAACAGAACAATAAAATGGCCTTGCAAGAAGAATCCATGGGGGACTCTGGGATTTAATAGGAAGATCATGAAGTATTTATCCAAAAGTTCCTGCAAGCTATCAAAAGCTGCCAACATTTTATCACCATCATCATAAGGAATTCTTTTTTTGTTTTAATTCTCTGGATATTGCTAAGCCACACTTAAATATTTTTGCCTCCCTTTTCCCCCTGTTGCACAGAACAAGGGTTGTTTTATGACTGCATTATGTGAAAATCCAAACCCTCGAGGAGGAGTAGTTTTTGAAAAGCTACAGCTTTGAAAAAGGGGAAAGGAGCTTGTTTTCTGCAGCTGAAGTGCCCTGCCATGTCATCTGGGATCCCAGTGATAACTCTTGCTAAGCACCACACAGGAACAACTTCCAAACGACTGAAAGCCAAGGGGGACACAAGACTTGAAAGGACACTTGGCGAATCAACTCTTCCATTTCATGCAAGAAACATTTAATCTGTATTTCTGTATTATTAAACAGAAAGGCACTTCCGTATTTTCAAACAGAAGATGCTAAGGCCTGATGTCTGTCCCAACAGGCAAACGGCACAGCATGGATTACATCCATGCAGCTGAACTCTTGTCTTTCCTAGGGACTGGTCCACACTATCCAGGGGGAAGAATCTCTATCCCCTGCCTTGATGCACGCCCTGACACCAGATAGGAAAACGCTCATTGGCACAGGGGAAAAGCAAGTCAGCTCCCTGACAGAGCACACACCATAGCCAGGCTGGTGCCCGTGTCCCTGCCCGCTCTAGTTTACTGGTGTAGACATATCATCCCTTGCATCACTCCCCAGCATCAGGTATGCAGTACCTACTAGAGCTGGCTTCCCCATAAGAACTAGAAAACAGCCTGTCTGAATGTGCTGCCAAAAAGCTGCCACAGAGAGCCTATGTTACCACCTTGGGTCCAAATCCCAGCAGGATCAGCAACGGTTTACTCATTGCTACATACTTGTGAAAGCATGCATGCATGCAGAGGAGAGATCCCTAAGTCTGGGGCATGCAAAGAGAAGTGAGGCTCAGGACATCAACCTGTAATACTGGGCTGCGGCAGCTGAGCACAAGCCAGCCTTGTCCAAAAAGAGTGGCTCTGGAAGGCTGCCCATGGTGCATGGATCACGTAAACCACCTTGCTCTGGAAACATGCATCTCCATAATATTTTGCTAGGTTTGCAGTGCTTTGGTTGTGTCTATTTAGTTGTTTGTTTTAAAGATAGAGCTCCTCACCTGTAGAGTTACCTGTACTGTGCCTGAAGGCAAACAGCCCAAGGAAGAAGTCATTCCGCAGGAAAGCACGCATCAACCCCATTCGTTTTCACAGTGTCACTCACAGGTGTTACGTTATTCATCTTTCCACTCTCAAAGTGAGACAAAACTACTTTAAAGATCAATGTAACATGTGCCATGTACCACTACAGAACTGTTTTTACAAGTAGTGCAGCTCAAGTTAGTAACTAGAGTGAAGCCCTGGGAACTAGAGCAGCCCTACGGAGAAGGACCTGGGGGTGCTGGTCGATGAGAAAATGAACATGAGCCGGCTTCAGTGTGCGCTCGCAGCCCAGAAAGCAACCGTATCCTGGGCTGCATTAAAAGGAGCGTGACCAGCAGGTCCAAGGAGGTGATCCTGCCCCTCTGCTCTGCTCTTGTGAGACCTCACCTGGAGCATTGTGTGCAGTTCTGGTGTCCTCAACATAAAAAGGACATGGAACTGTTGGAACAAGTCCAGAGGAGGCCACGAGGATGATCAGGGGCTGGAGCACCTCCTGTATGAAGACAGGCTGAGGAAGTTGGGGCTGCTCAGCCTGGAGAAGAGAAGGCTGCGTGGAGACCTCACAGCAGCCTTCCAGTATCTGAAGGGGGGCTATGGGGATGCTGGAGAGGAACTCTTCATTAGAGACTGTAGTGACAGGACAAAGGGTGATGGGTTAAAACTGAAACAGGCAAAGTTTAGGTTGGATATAAGGAGGAAATTCTTTCCTGTTAGGGTGCTGAGGCACTGGAATGGGTTGCCCAGGGAGGTTGTGAATACTCCATCCCTGGCAGTGTTCAAGGCCAGGTTGGACGAGGCCTTGGGTGATATGATTTAGTGTAAGGTGTCCCTGCCCACGGCAGGGGGGTTGGAACTGGATGATCTTAAGGTCCTTTCCAACCCTAACAATTCTATGATTCTATGAAGTGGCCAATATTTGTAGAAAATCAGTGCCATGATCCTACAGAAGCACAGTTACTGCCCCATCAGCAGCAGAGTCTCCTGTGTTGCTTGTCTCTGTGGTTTACCGCTGAAGCTCAGCTGATGGGAGGAGACCAAGAGTATTTTTTTCCTGGCAGGAAAGCAGCAATTAAAATGACCTCTGGGGTCCTGTTCTTGCTTTAACTTTCAGCAACAAGTTTACATCCCCCAAGTCTCCCAGACTCACAGAAGGCAGTGATTTCTGTGACAATCTCAGCTGTGAAAGCTTTTCAAGCTCAAAAATCATTCAAGCATATTCTTTTTCAGGATTAGAGATAGGAATTTATCACAATAGATGATTGTGACACCATCTTGAAGACTTGGTGCTAGCTTGCCACTTAGGACACTTTTTGTGCTCCTCTATCACTACTCATAAACATGAATAAATATAATTTACACTTTATGAAACTCTTACATTGCAAAATGGCACAGAGGATCACAAACGTCAGCACAATTCCAGGTCTACAGCTCTGCTGGGTGCAGCAAAGACCTTGATCTTGTAAAGGCAGCACTACCTGCTGACGTGGTACCAACAGTAACTGTATGAACCGAGACAAAGGAAGCAAATGGCTCACAGACATAGCGCATCGCAGGAGGAAGGATCAGAAACAACCCCAGAGAGTTATGTGGCCAAATCCCACTGAATACAGTGGATAGTGGGTGCCCAACTTCAACCTGGATTTTTTGATCTGCTAATCCTATTAATCTGCAGTGGGTTATGCCATCATTTTCCTTCCCCAAATACACAGTAATGCCTTTCAAGAACACTAATCTGTGCATCATCATCCCAATACATCAAGGGCATCTTCTACATTAGACATAATCTACAGTCACAGAGCACAGGGCATCATACGGCTGCTTGGGCTTCCTGCAATCTGCTGCTGTTGTGGCAGACGAGCCCTCCTGAAGCGCGGCAAGGCCCAATGAGGGTGGCGAGGAGACAACCACCCAAAAAAAGCACATGCTCAGAAGCCAAACCAGGTCACTTCAGCACCTGCTTCCACTCGTGACGCGGGCACGGTCTTTGTCTCCTCTGTGCTCTCCCTGTTTTCTCAGATCACGCAGTTTCTGCACCACATGCAGCACTCACCAGAAACATCCCCAGTCTGGGTGGACATCCCGTCCATCAGTTTTAGCTTAGGAAAATCCTTCTGAGAGCTTTTACATGATCATCCAAATATGTGAGGGGTGGGTCTGCATTGTCTCCACGAAAAACAAGAATGGCAAGACACATCCAGGTCCCGGCACCCACAGGCAGCGACTAAAACTGCTTCTTTGTTCTGATTTTTACAGGGCACCACCACAGCCCAAAAAGGTGACAAGGGAATTTTCTTTTGTCCTCCCAAGATCATGTTTGAGAGAAAAGGCCGAAGGGGACTGGAAGGAGTAAGGAGTGGAAAAGCGAATGTGAAGAGGCTGCTGTCACACTGTCTCTAACCCTCCTGGAGGCAGCGGGGAAGGACACACTGCTGCATCTGCTGAAGGTGCTGAGCCAAAGCCTGCTGCAGGCAGCAAGATCACGGTGGGCCACTTCAGCAAGTGTTAACACCAGGCTGGCACAACAGAGCAGGCTGGACTTATGTGCTTATGAGCTGACTTATGTGCTGGATATTTATTTTCAATGACCTCATTGTTGCCACAAATCTGGTTTTGGCCATGAGTCTCCCCCAGTTTTATTTAACTGGCTTGAGTGCAATACCATATAAAGTGTCAAAATCTAAGGAGTATCTGGCCAGAAACCAGCTTGGTTCACAAGCTAGAACACTGGCAACTCCCCTGGCAAGTGAACACCTGAGGACAATAACTGTTACTTCCTTGAATATTGTTTGGGGGTTTTTGGTGGGGCTTCCTTCATTTAAAACAAACAAAACCAGATGAGGTTTAGAGTCTGGGCCAGCAGGAACACAACCAGGAAATGCAGTTTTATGTCAAGTCAGACTTGCAAAGTTGAAGCCCAGTGCAGGCTGGTTTATGTGGAAAGAAAGAAGACAGCCAGTGTCCCTTCCAACCCAAGCTGTTCTATGATTGATCAGGGCAAGCAGGTCTCTTGTGTATGTCAGATGTTGAGAATGGGCACAGCATGGGTCCAACATTCTGACTAGGTGGTACCTGATTCCAACTAAGTTAATGTGAGAATCCAGCAGAGTCCTGCTTCTCCTCCTTTGGCACACGCCGGTCTGTCCTCGCAGGACCACAGGAACAGCAGGTTTAGCACATTTCAGCAGCACACATGAAACACCCACCGGGGATGCAGGCAACAGCTGGGGAATGCGGGTGTGCTATGGGCAGAGCTGGGGATGTGTGTAACCACAACAGGGGACAACGCCGTGGACCAAACACAAACCACAAGTCACAGCCCCAGAATCATTTAGTTGTGTTTGGCTCGAAGTGAAGGTATAGATTTCTTTACAGAGGCAACCCACTGAAAATACACTCTTTTTCCCCAGAAAGACATTAAAAAATTACATAATGGCCATGAACAAAAGGATTACAAATCCCAGATTAAGTATTACATTAGGATTGATTTTAAAATTATGGTTCTAACAAGCATCAGAGAAGTAACTGTAATCTCTGCATGAAAGGATTAAGCATCTCAGTCGAAATACATGTTCTGTTGCACAGAACATAAATGGTAATTTTTCGTGTTTGTCCAGTGGTTCTTTGAGTTTCCTGTGCCAATCTTCATCCTCAGATTAAAACTTGCTTTACTGAGCGAAAGCAAGAAGCTTTTCACAAGAAAGCTTGCAGGAGCCAGCAATTGCCACAGCCTTGCCTTCTTCCCAAGAGAGCTGGGAAAGGAAGAGGTGACCGTTCCTGGCTGCTCTCACCACAGAGGCACACAAGCCAAGGGGCGACACCAACACCACTGTAACCACGCATGGGGCTTTCCAACTGCATTACAAAAACACGTACACCTCCATTACTGAAAAGAAATAAAAAACCCCGAACAACCCAACAAGGAACCCACAGAGTCCAAATACACGGGGAGCAGCAGGCTATGCGCTCAGTAGCAAGCTGTCTGTACAGCGCAGCATCACTAAAGCAAACACTGGAAAAGCATCACCCTAATGAGACAGCTCTGTGCAGCAGAAATGAGATGTGGCTGGTCCGTGACTTGGTGCAGTAACAAAGGCAAGATGCATCCAGAACAACCTGCATTTCCCGAGGGGCTCGCACAAGGGAGGCAGGTGCTCCTCTGGAGCACCCTGTTCCCATGGCTACACAGGGTGATGGCAAATGAGGCGCATGAGGGATCACTGAGAGAGGGATCGCAACATACAGACCCTGCTCCTTCACCTGGCTCCGTATGCGCTGCCTAGCTCTGCCCAGGGAGGAGCTCGACCTCAGCCGCGTCCTGGACACCACACTGTGGTTTTGCCTGAAGAAAGCTGGGAAAATAGGAACCAACGCTATACTGTCAAGGACTGCGATAACAGAGCAGTGACGCGGCAGGGAGGAAGGCCTGCCCATCCACCGGGCTCTCCCAGGGAGACACACAGGATTCCCAAACCCTCCTTTGATGTCAGCAAAAACCTTACAGATCACTCAGCAGAGCAATTGCCCTCCCGTGCCTCGTGGAGGTGACGGAGCCCATCTTCCAGTGCCCGTGGGCACAGCAGGGCTGGGGGTCTGCACAGGTGCCAGGAACACATCTGCTGGGAGCCGTGAAGTGGGACGAGAACCCCGGGACAACCGTGCTCTGAACAACGTCAAGCTGCAAAGGGAAGCTCTCGGGGGGTGGGGAGCTGCCGGGTCACAGGCTGTACTCTGGAGCCCTCAGCAATGAACAGCACCAGACTCTCAAACCCCAGACCCAGGCTCCCTCCAACCTGAACATCCCAAACCAGCAGCCTGGTGGGCTGCTACTGCCCACAGCAGCGTGCCCTCATCGCAGAGAGGACACAGAAATGATTAACAGCCGTGAAGCAATCAGTTGATTAGCTCCAAAGAAGTATCCAGGGGGAAATGAAACGCTGCGGCTCCAAACCTATCATATGTTTTACCAGTCAGCTTCTCCTTTAAACTGAACTATTTTCAGCTCAAACCTAAAACTATTACTAAACTGCTTCTGCCCAGTTTTTCCTAGATTTTGAAGTGTTTAGGGATTTACTCTTATTTTCATGAAGCATCACATGATGTTAAGCAATTCTGCACTGCTCCACCATGGGATCTGCTGGGGTCCTTGTGTTTTCACTTTATTAAACAATAAGAAGATGCCTTGGGAATCCCCTGAGAGGTCACCTACTGCATATCTCCAAGGCCCCAGTTTATAGCATTTGCCCCCTATCAGAAATAAACACAGGAGTATAGGTAAAGGGGGAGAGGAGAAAGAACCAGTTTTTACTGAAATGAATAAACACAGTTGAAGAGGAGGTCAATAAACAAGAGAAGCATGATGATGACCTGCTAATCATTACCCCATTGTTCTCCCTGCCACTACAAAGCCCCTTTTACAATCCAGCTTCTTCAAACCCAAGAATAAATGTTGCTGCAGAGAATGCAGCAGGCGAACACCTGTATCCTCCCCCCAAAGTGCATCTGTGTGCTCTGATTCGATCACACGTTTGGTAACTGCATTGCTGGAAGGTAAAAAACACAACTAGAGGTTTATCACCCCAGTGACAACTGCTTTCAAGCCAGGCTAAAGAGGCAGGCTGCTAAACAATGACTGTTGTCTGTTTTCTCCAAGTATCTGGGTTTTCTTTGACAATGGGTTACAGTTTGCTACAGCAAAGGCAAAGGATTTGTCATTGCTGCTTCTGGTTCCCACTCCAGCCAAGGGGCTGTACCAGGGCCACAGATAGTGATGCTTGGGGGAGCTTTCCTTGGGATTCACAGAGCTGACAGCTCAGGACAGAGAGACTGGGAAACTTCTCAGCTGATGCCAGCAGCCTTGGACCTGTGCACCTTGTGACAGCTTCCAACAGCCGAGGGGTTGTCCCCAAGTGCCACAGTGCTGGAAAGGGTGAATCCAGATGGGTCCTGCACCCTGGGGACTGGAGCACGGTCAGTAAAGATTCTTAATCAATAAAACTGCCATGGAGAATGGCGGAGCACCGATGGACCAAGGAGTCCATCTTGCTGCTTCCTAGAGGGGAAGAAATCAGAGGTAGGTTTCTGCTGGGACAGCAGATGCTTACATCTAGTTCTCACTAAAACCAGATTTTTCTTTTTACTCTTAAGAAGACATTTCATCTTGAAGCTTCAGTCCTCCAAACCCCATTTTGAGATGTGTCAAAAGTATCCTCAGCTTATTCAGAACTGAAAGAAAGCCCGTAGAAGCTACCTTGAGAGCAATTAAGAAGCCCAATCTACTTTAAAGTAGACTGGAAAATAACCCAAATCCCATTTTATGTAGGCAACTGCATGAGAATATTAGTTGCTACTAATAAGAAATTACTGCCCAGGTCTTGTCTCTTTTAAATACCCTGAAAAAACACATTCAGAGGTGTGGATCACGCAGAGCTTAAGAGGGATTTTAGCAGCTCATTTCTAATGGTCTCATTGTAAACTTATCCCTCTAAGTCAAGACATTTTTAAAACGATTTTTGCATTAAAATGTAAGAAACGTGTGATTACAAGGTAGCAACGTGCTGCTATAATCACCCTCTTTTGCCTGGAGTGGCTGCACAGGGGCCTGCTAGCTGCTTTTCAAGCAGAGAGATGTATTTAACTGCGCACAGTTAATTCCATCCTTAACTCTCCTGACACTTCTTCATATTAGCTGTGGTACAGTTACACAGGCGCGAACAGGCTACCAGCATTCGTCAAGATTACATGATGGTCACACACTTTCTGTAGGGATGAAGAGCAGTTCACAGAGCTTCTCAAGCTAACCGATGACCAACAGCGACCTTTTCCTGCCGAAACACAAAAGCTGCTGGAGGCAGAGAGCACTGACAGGCAGGAAAAGAAGCGATCAGCACTCGGGATGCAAACAGGCACCAGACGAGATGCACGTCAAGGCAGGTGTGATCCCCTGCTCAGATCTCTGAAGGTCTCTCCACCTGCAGAGAGGCTCTGGGTGATGCGCTGCTGCATGACGCTCCCGGAGAGAGTAAGGGTCTAGATGAATTTTGGGGAATATTCTTCTGAGTGCTGAAAGATCCAGCTTGGGCCCAGTGCTCCCTTTCCAAAACATCTCCACACTCAATGTTCCCATGGAAACTCGGGAGTCTTCAGCTTGCCAGACACAGTCAACTGCGATGTTACTCAACAAACTGTTGCAGCCGTTTAGCCAAAATGAAATCATAACACAGAGCACTAGCAATGCAACATGCAATACCCTCATTTATACTTAAACCATGAATCATTGCACACCGCTAATGGTAACTGCTCATTTAAGCTGACTGAAAGTTATTAAATGCTTTTAAACATTCAATAGAAGCAGGTATTTTCCTGCCTGCGTAAGAAAGCCTCTTCCCCCTCCCAGGCACCAACCTGGCAGTTCTTCAATGAAGACAATGTTAATAAAGAACTGTCTTCATCTGCCTAACAAAGGTCAATGAATGGATTTGGAGAGACAGTGCTTCCTGCTGCAAGAGTACTGCAGCTGCTGAACACAAGGTCCACTAACACTGGCCAACTGTCTGTGGACTTACAGACCAAAGGTTATTTAAGTACATTTATCTTGAGTGTCTTTAATTTTGGTCTTGCCCAAGCACACCACTTACACTGACTTGTTTGGGGCAGAAACCACAAAACTCCAAGTCCAAAATTGCACAGATTTCTGATATTAGTAAGGTCTTTAAAACAGCAGCTATTAAAGTCTTCTTGGCACATTTCTGAACTTTGAGGCAAATCCTTTGCCTGCCTGATGTCTTCCAGAATTCCCAAGAGGATCGAGGACACATATTAATTGTTACGATCTTTCGCATATTCAGGAAGAAAAACTCACTTTAGCAATCTCACCACTTTGGGGGATTCTGGAGACCCAAATTATTGTTATGTTTTTAAATCAGTCCAGTGAATAATCTTTCTAAACAGAATACATTCTCTCATTCCCCATCCCTGGCAATGTTCAAGGCCAGGCTGGACACAGGGGCTTGGAGCAACCCGCTCAAGTGGAAGATGTCCCTGCCCGTGGCAGGGGGTTGGAGCTGGAGGAGCTTTAAGGTCCCTTCCAACCCAATTCTGTGATTCTATGATAATTTCTTTCTTCTACAGCTATGTCATAAGGGTTGCCACATGGATTTCTGGGGAAAATTTATGGGGATAAGACTTATTTTTTAAGGCAATTACATGAATGTCCTCCCTCAGCCTTCCAACCCTGCAGCACCCTTGTGCTTGGGGTTGTGGAAGGTAGGGGACCTCAGCTGGCTGCCAGCCTCAGCAAAGTTGGTCTGGTTGAAGTAACACACAGGAATTTATTCACTTGATAGCACGCGTTGTGCTCACAGGCTGCACCAGAGCTTTCAAAAGGGGTTTATCTAAAACTGAGGTATGTTATAGTCAGTGTAGCTACTGAAACTCTCTCTCAACCACGACTGAGAGCAGAATCCCCCGTGGGCAGGAGTGGCACCAGCCTGCGGTGAGCGCAGTGAGCCCTGGCCACACCGACATGAGAAGAAATGCAAAGGCACAGAACTTACACAAAGGACGTGCAGGACCACAGCTCCGTGTCTCCTGTCCTCGTTTGTGAAGATGTCATTGGGGAATTCATGGAGAGCTGCAAAAGCGGGGGGAAAGGGAAAGCTCAGATGTTGAATCAGCTACTCAAAAGCACCGCGCATACTGTTAAGTAACACCATGAAAAACTGCCTGAGCTTCTACTGAGCAGTAGCCCTATGAATACCACAGCAAAAGCTCTGTTTTGTTTCCCTATTAGTTCTGCTTAATTTGTCCTCTGGCAACTACAGCCTTTTCCCAAAAGTTAATTTGCTTTTGCAGCAACCACAATATTATGTACCCCAATGGTTTGGGGAAGGCAGGTAAATCCCAAGAGCACAGCATTGCTCTCTCCTGAAAACATTCAAGGAAACAGCTTGTACAGAGTAGGTGGTGATGGGTCACTCATTTCTGACTTACAGTTTTGTACCCAAAATGGACAGGCTCAAGCCACCCCTTCAGCTGGCAGTACCACCTGCCCATGCAAAGGGCACAGACCACATGTACCCATGTCCAGACGGACAACAACTTCCCTCAAGCGCCCTTCCCAACAGCAGGCACTTGCGGCAAACTACCTCTCAGCTGGGTTTGTTCCTTATCCTGCCTGGTGTCTCTCACTGAACTTGTGACAGCATCAAGGTACGAGACTCCCCTGTACAGAAAACACCCCGAGGACCACCAGCTGTGGCAGATAGCAGCAGGTGGAGGGGACGCAACCCAGCTCAGGGCCAGGTTTGGAAATTCCAGATCAAAACAAATCCTTTCTCTGCCTCCAGACTTTTCTCTGCCGCCTCAGAGGCATCCTCAACATGAACAAGACATCTGATGTATGGCACCAGTGATGCAAAGAAGGTTCTGGCAAAGACATCAAATACTAAGAACCCCAAGGGTGCAACTCTTTGTTGTTGCAAAGATTTCCATTGGGAAGGGGTAGTGTTAATACAAAGCCCCACAAGCTGGAACCCTACGTGTAAAGGCCAGCTGAAGTCCTCCTGACATCAGCGGTTCAAGAGGGCGATGTGTATCTGAAGCAAGTTTCCTGTGAAGGTGCATGACATGTGCCATGGGAAGAGGTAACAATTCCACCTTCCCCAAGGGCTGTCAGCAGGTCTGTGTGAAACGGCTTCAGCCAGAGCTCCACAGCTTCTGCCCACATCAACTCAAGGACGGCGCCCGAGGAGTCCCTCGTCACAGCCTGTTCCATGTCCCCAACAGCAGCTTTTTACCTGCAGCAAACTCAAAGGCAAAGTCATTATCGCTCAGGATGAAGGATAAACACCTTTACTCTGCAGTGAGGCTGTGGGACACAGGCAGAGTCTATGGTCTAATCAGCTTCAGAAAGAGCATCTGTTGGTAGAAGCGAACTATGAAGAAACTTCATGCAAAACATAACTATGTCAAATAATGATATGACAGAGCAAGGAAAAAACCAGCAACCCAAACTAGATGCCGTTTCTCTCAGGAAAGCTGCTCACTGGTAGGGAAAGTAGAAAAGCAAATCCCATCTCTGACCTCACTGATCTCACGATCATGGTCTCCTCAGGGCTCTGCAACACCTTGCTGCAGCCCAGCTCATGCAAGGAACAACAGAAGGCATTCTATGTGGTCAGAAGGTGAAGCACTAAAGATGGTCAGAAGGTGACGCACTAAAGATGGTCAGAAGGTGACGCACTAAAGATGGTAACCCTCTGCAATTCCTTCCACCATCTGCAATTACAAGGCGGCAGGTTTTGCTAACAAGAAGTACTTCTACTGCACAGCACATTATAAAAGGCTGGATTTCATTCCCCAGGGATGCTGTGGCAGGCAGCAATGCAGGAAAGGCCCAAAAGGAGATCCCCCATGGATTGTCTGTCAGTGATATTAAGTATGGCAATCTAAATGCAAACTGCGTTTTTTGTAAATCCTGTGGTCAGCAGTCAGCAAGGGTGGGCATGGGTAGGAGAACTGACCATTACAGGCTCTGTAGCTTACACTTCCCCCTAAGCATCCCTTACCAGCCATTTCCAGAAGCAGGATGCTGGGCTAGGTGGCCGCTTGGGCAGTTTTCTAAACAATCAGGAGAGAAGAGAGGGACATTTTGACATCTGCAGCAAGAGGTGACAGAAGCAGAGCCATGACCTGCTGGTTGCTCAAACATTCATGCTTCTGCTCCCTTCTTCCTTACAGCAGAGAAAAGCACTAGCTCCAGAGCAATGAGTTTACACACCAAGAGGTTTGCACTCCACCTTTGCTTCACCATGCAAGATCATGATCATTTAAGACCAAGAGAGTCATAAAGCCTTAGAAATGACACACTAATGCGGGACAGATGATGGCCACTGCACCAACCCAGAAAACAACTCAGCAATTCAGTTTGCTCAATGTGTTTTCATGAAGAGCATCATATTTTTCTTAGATTAGCATTTCTTTCCTAAGTCAAGTAATCAGCAGAACAGTTGAAAAGACCATGAATACAGATGGGTAACTCTTATTGCAAATATGGTGTTGCAAGTCATTTAAAGACAATTCACTTCCATTTACTCAAATGCTTTATTACTGTTCTGGATGTTGATTGAATTATAAAGCACCTAAAGCCGGTCTGCCAATTAGGCTGCAGGAATGGCTTTTGGTTATAAACTAAAAAGCAAGCATGAAGATGATGTTCTGGTATTCCAGGTGCTTCTAGTAACTCCAGATTTGAAGTGCTCAGTAACAACTAAAATAATGGCTTTCTCCTAATGGTCAGCTCTGCACATTCCGCCTTGTTGGAAAGACCTCAAACTATGTTCTTCCTGGCTTTCACATCATTATTATTAATAAAGCTCCATCAATTGGAATTTAATTAGCAATTCCATAGATGATTAAATGGAAAACCAGCCCAGCTCACTCTCACAGCTTTGCTGTCTGTGAATCAATAAGTGAGCAAAAGGTACCTACGTCTTAATTTCGTAACTAATTTTGTAACTAACGCAAGCAACAGATCTACTCAGGCACTGTGCCTGAGGGGGAAAACGCTCTTTTGTACATAGTGGTCTTTTGACCACTCAGAAGACTCAGGTCAGTACTGTGAGTTGCATTCCTACCATCTGGTAAACTTTATAACAAGTCCTAACAAACTAGTGGGAGCTACTGGAGTACTACAGACTTTAAGATGAATGTGTAATGAAGTAACACCAGCAACAGCCTTGAACATGTGATAAACCAAGGCCAGGTTGGACACAGGGGCTTGGAGCAAGCTGCTCTAGTGGAAGGTGTCCCTGCCCGTGGCAGGGGTTGGAGCTGGAGGAGCTTTAAGGTCTCTTTCAACCCGACCAAGCCTGTGATTCTATAATTAAAAGCATACAGGAAAACCCCCACAGTATAAAACCCGAACAAGCTTGTCACTGCTGGCAGAGGTGGGGAATCCTTCCATCCACTCTGTGCAAAGCAGAAATGCTGAATCCCCCTCAAGTTCAGGTTCCCACCCCCGCTCTGTGATGAAATTCACCTTCAGATTACAGAAACATCTCAGGTGTCTGAGGCTTGCTCTGCCCAGCACTGCCTCCTCTGCGACACCCTCTGAACACAAATGCTTGTGGTGGCTTACACTTGAATCTGTGCAATTAGAAAATAGCGTATGCAGATTTGAAATCTGCTGCATTTTTATTGGATGCATCAGGTGCAGATGAGTGCAGATAAGAGGAGAGCTTTGCAAAACACAGGAGCTCCTTTCTAAGAAGAAATAAAGGGTGCTGCTAGAACACCACTCCAACAACAGCTGCCCTATTTAGCTAGTATAAAAGCTCATACAGTTATTTTGCTTAAAAGAGTCCACAGCTTTTGTACAGAAAACAGGGGCATATTCTGCCAGGCTTAGTTTGAACCACAGCAGGAAAAAAAACACCACCCTCTCAATGAACCTGAGCTCAAAGAACAGAAGTTTTCTGCCCAAGTGATCCACTCTCCTCCTGCAGACATTGTAGGTATTTGGTCTGCAAACTGCAGAAAGGCAGGATCTTCACATGCACTCAGCACCTCCACAGATATTCCTTGTGTGGGTATGAGGTACAATGCCAGTTGCTAAGACCAGAGCTGTGCCCCTGCATCAGCACTGCAGCATCCTGTACTGATAGAGCTCCTACTGCAGGCCTGGGAATTCCAGCCTTCAGATGGACACAACTCGGTCTGAATTTTCAGTTGATGCGAGGTATGTTTGTGCAGCTCCACACAATGTAAGGGGTTTTGGGTGCAGCTCAATCTTGTATTGGCAACTTGTAAAATTATTAGTGAATATTAGAATTATTAGAATTTGGAAGTAACAGGAACTGAATGACTATCAGCAAAGTATGGATGTAAAGGAGGTTAAATAAAGGAGGAAATCACAATAGGTGTGAAAAGTTGTGCTCTTTTGCATTAGCCAAGGACCTGACAGCAAGACCTCAGGTGTTCAGACAGGAATCATAGAATCAACCAGTTGGAAAAGCCCTTCAAGCTCATCCAGTCCAACCGTTCCCAGCACTGCCAAGGCCACCACTAACCCATGGCACTGAGGCCTTGTCTCCATGGGGTGTGAACCCTTGCAGGGACGGTGACTGCAGCCCTGCCCTGGGCAGCCTGTTCCAATGCCTGAGCACCCTCTGGGGCAGGAATTGTTCCTCAGCTCCAGCCTAAGCATCGCTGCTGTACAGACAGGGGAGCCCACCCTTTCCAAGCACGAGGTGTACGGCATTGCCTGCAGCCCACAGCAGCCGCGGAGCTGTTGCTGCTGGCTCCCACGGGAGCATCCACACGGCACCGCAGTGCACGCTCCGCGTGCCTGATCTGGAGAAGAATCTGTATCTGTGCTCAACAGGGAAAAGTTATTTCAGTCATAATACAGTGAGTTGGAATAAATTCTGGTCTCTTTATTCTCAATCAGTGTGCAATTCATTAAAACTGGAACCCTGCTCAGCCTTAGTTTTAGCTGACTTACGAAATGATCTGCGTTACCACTCTACTCAGAGGATTTGCTGGCGCAAGACGAATTTGCCCCTGTTCTGCACTGTCAAGCTACTCCAGGCAGTTCGTGCACTGTACCAAGGACAGATGTGCAGAGAAGAT